CATAAAGCAAGGGTGTCAAACTGGAAGACTGTTTTAATGCATTAAAGCTGTGGTCACACTAGAGTTTGAGTTTCAAAATTCTGTCTTATGGCGCTGCGAAAAGGGGCGGGGTTCAACAAGATGATTAGACATTCAAAGAAGCGAGCGATTGCTCCATATTTTAAATTTCTGTTCAGAGAGGTCATGTTTTGATTTTTGATTGGTCTCATGCAATAATATGATGCGATTTCACAGGTCAGAGTTTACCATGCTTAAACTTTCTAACGCAGCGAACTGAAACTTTTAACATAAGCTTACATTTGCATTCTGCCACATTCGCATGCGTATGAATGGAAGTCTATGGGGCGAAAAGTGTGGTGTGACCGGGGCTTTAAAAAAAAAACTTGCCTTTAAATTGTGCTAAAAAGGGCTAAATTGTGCAGAGCTGCAGATCTTAAGGGCAGTTTGACACCTGTGTCATAAAGCAGATGACAAAGAAGTAGCATTTTTTAATATGCTTTTTAAGAACACGTAGATGCAGTTTGGTCACAAAGCAACTTTTTATTTATTTATAATTTTTAATGAGTTTTTTCTTCAGCATATGCAGTTTGATCATATCTTTAAAAATTATGTAAATTCAAGAAGGCAGATTACTTGTGATGAAGCAGCGCACATGCAAATATAGTCTCAAATTCAGCACTTCCATTGGTAGTTGTGCATGTTGATACGTATACATAGTAAAACTGCATTTTGACACAATCGCATTCACTTTTGACACCAATTGCTTTCCAGACGTGTGTTTGTATATCCCAGCTGACAGAACAAGGCTGGTTAAACTGTCTGGAACATATGCAACAAGCCTTTCACATGAGTCTCCTAACATCCATCAATGCTGAGACCAAGCCCGTGCATAAGTTCATTCAACCAAATGAAATGCATTTGAATAAAAGACACTCAATATCAATCAATAGAAAACATAGAGTGCTCATATATAATAATAATAACAAAATATAAATCTGCTGATCCTATTCCTTTTCTTTCTTGGGAAGCAGCAAAATCAATAGTTCATTTTAGTTATTGTTTATCAAATCGAACAATCAACTGATGCACCAATGAACAGACACATCAATCATCATAATACTTTTCCTTTAAGAATGATATTATTCATTGGAAAAGTCTTGGTGACTGGTGAAAAGACAAATGTCAGACTCCTGGACTGACAGCACTGTCGTCTCTCACTGGTGGCAAACTAAGGTTAGGGATATTCTGGCTAAACCGTTAACCCAGGTTCATCACAGGATGAAAATTGTCAGATTTAGATGAAAGATAGTCAAGAAAAATATTTGTTTTAAGATGTACATCATTAGCATATTAAGGAAATGTAATCTGCACTGTAAAACCCAACAGTAAAAATCACTAAATAAATGAAGTTAGTTTAACTTATAATTATTTATAAAAGTTCATTTGGCTCAATGAAAAAGAGTTATGGTAACTCATAAACTGAGTATTTTAGGCAGAACACAAACCCAACAAGTTACGATATCAACACAAATAATATGTGTATATAACTCTATATACACTCATCAGCCACTTTATTAGGTACACCCTAATAGTACCGTGTTGGACCCTCTTTTTCCTTTAGAACTGCCTCAATTCTTTATGGCATAGATTCAACAAGGTACTGGAAATATTCCTCAGAGATTTTGGGATGTGGTGGAACAGGAGATTCGCATCATGGATGTGCAGCCGGCAAATCTGCAGTTACTGCGTGACGCTATCATGTCAATATGGATCCTCTGAGGAATATTTCCAGTACCTTCTTGAATCCATGCCATCGAGAAGTGAGCCAGTTCTGAAGGCAAAAGTGGTTCCAACCCGGTATTGCATGTTCAATAAATGCATAATTCTGTTATCACAAACTGTTTTTATGTACAATTTATCCTATTGATGTTAATAAAAGCCCATGCACATTTGTCTCATGCCCATGTTTACTACATGGCCTAGAAAAAAGGGTCTGTAAGGGAATGATTAACAGCAGGGGCAATTTTAGGACTTTCATTTTAGCGGGGCTCAACTCCCTATATATAAAGCCTAATATTATTTATAAGTAGTAGTTTAATAGTAATACACTTAAAAATGTTAATAGGGGTTGTATACTAGTATTCCACTGTATTACACAGACATAGCATTTGAGTTCTGAATAAGCCACATAGCCTCAACCCACCTGTTTACTGTAGTAAAAAACACCTTCTATATTCAAGTGTATTTTTTTTGTTTCCATGTTTTAATAAATTAACTGCCGCTTTTCTAATTAAATGGCATACATATAAATATTTTTAACTTACTGGCTAATTCCCATATTTCATGATCTGAATGATAATAATAAATGAGGATTTTTTAGTCAACACTTGATGTTTCTACAGTATCTCTGTCAGTGACAGTTAAAACGAATTCTGCTGCCGTTTTCATATTAACTTTAAAGGGGACTGAAGTGATAATTTAGTGCACAGTTTGTGAGTTAATTGCAAAAGTTTTAGGGGGGCTGAGTAGAAATATAGGGGGGCTACAACCCCTCTAAAATAGGCCTAGCAAGGCCCATGATTAACAGTAATGAAATGAGTGTAAGCATTCAATGAATGTGCTGAAAATGTATACTTTTTGCTACTTGTAGAGTATGAATGACGAAAGTGATTGGGACTTTTGTGTGTTCATTGTATGCATTGCATGAAAGCTTTGATAAATTGTTCACAATATGCTCTTCATATAGACTGTGCTTGGCTGAACAGTTTTAAAAACATGAATTCAGTACAGCATAATGCTTGTTAGCGGTTGAAAAAAAAAACTGTGAATCTACTTCCAGTTGCCTGAGACAGGGAAATAATTGGTTGCTAATGTGGAATCCTGTTGACAGTGCCATTTTGACCTTCGGTGTGTGGGTCATTCTTATGTCAAGAGTTAATGGATAATAAATGTTGCCAGCCATCAAATCCGAAAGTTTTCTGGACCACTTTAAATTAGTTGCTGCATTGTTAGTAAACATATTCTGCTATTCTAAGCCATTAGTGTAGCCCTCTTTTAGTGACTAGATCTGATAAGAACATTAAGAACTTTTTGACTTGCATTTCTTTCAGGAGCATAAGACCCAAAGCATGTCTTTCTATTTTGATGCTTTGTATTTGATTCTGTTGTGGATATTCCCCTGCAGTATAGAGTCATTTTCATGTTGAATGCAGATGTTCTTGTTACTGACATGTTTTACTTCCTACATATCACACGTCGAGTCACAGTTATATTTGTTTTCTGTCTTGTAAAATTCACTGTTACTGCAAATGTTTCAGTGAGTGAGTAAACTTAGTGAAAGAAACCAATTTGTGAAGAATGTGTGTAATCTAAACCTTGAAGAACTTCTTTTTACTTTTGAACACACGCAGATTATATACAGGCCTGTAGGCTGGAGGGGTTCGAGTGGTTCAGAAGACTCACCCCTTACAAACAAAGTTCCAGAATTTGTCCAATACATGAGCTTATGGGTCCTATTTTGACTGCTATGCCATCATGAAATATTGATAATAACCCATAAAAAAGGCTTTAAGACCAAGCGGAATCCTCTGTTGGCTGTCCCTTCGGCGTGACTTATCAGTTTTGACCAATGCTAACAAATATTTAAATTTTATTGTCTGACGTAAGAGAAGTCTTCTTTCGCTACTGCATTGTTTTTAAATAGAGAAAATATGTTACAAGTAACTTTTAATATAAATTTTGGGGCTTATTCTTTAAACAAAAAGGACCAATAAAAAGGTGTAAAGCACCAAAAGTGGCCCATTTAAAATTAATTTGAATATATTTTGGCTATGGTTATTATCCATGAATTTTCAAACATAATTTCTACAAAAAGAGGCTAGAAAAAATGTAAAGCTCTACATTATTATTATTATTATTACCCAGGTGATAAAGAATTCTGGCCCGGGTTTGGCAAAAAGCTGGCACAGCAAGCATTCATCTGGCACTGGCATACAGCATGAAGGCCAAACATGGCCCAGGTTTGGGAGAGGTGGCACCATATTTAAGGCGGCACACAAGATATGGGCCAGATGTCAAATGTAATATTTGGCCAAGATTTGAAAAAAATTATATGTTGGCCTCGTAAATTTGGCCTATCTTGATGATAATTTAAGAAGTTAACCCACATTACATATATTTCACTAACCGATTTATTATTCTACAAATTATTAGCCATATATCAATGGTAGTTTTTTAATAAGATATTTATTTTTTATAAGAAATTTTATTATTCATAATATTTTTCTGAATGGATCATTTCATGCATGAGCACACATAGAGTTGTTCTGCTTTAAAATGAAAAACGAAAAACAGGTGATGCATTGATTTTTACCTATTTCATTGCAGTTGTGATGCACCAAATCTGCCTCCAGAAAATGGCCAAACATGGGTCATGGGTCCCATTAGGCCCAGACATGGCTGATTAACTTGGGTGAGACTTGATCCAGATAAGGTCCATGTTTGGCCCTTTTCTGGAAGCCAGACTTGGTCTAGTCATGTACCGTAATTCACTGCGGCATGTGGGCCAAGTAAAAGTTGATTGTGTGGGCCAGGGAAATTTTAATTCTTTTTTAATTTAAATGGCCAGTTGAATGTGCTGGCCAGTTTGCTATTTGCCTAATAAATGACAATATGCCACAGTTTTTTACTAAGAACTTTTTTTTGGCTAATGATATATGATATTTATATATTTTTATTCTCAATCTTTAGGAAATATTTATGGCACATCAAAAAGTTGCCCATGTCTAAATCCACCACTGTCATGGTGAATAAGTCAGAAATGCATCAAGTAAAATAGATTTTTATTCCTTACTTTTCCAAGTTACAGCTTTAATTTCAGATTATTTCTTCTCAGTATGAGTTTTTGAACTCAAACTGACTTCCAATATTTACTGGGACAAAAAGACTGTTGATTGATTGATTGATTGTTGATTGATTAATTAACCAATCAAACTTTTGCGCGGTAAACTGGTGCATAGGTTTGATTGTTTCATTGTTGCAGAACCTCGTTCATCTTCGTTTGAACAAAAAACACACGGAAACTCGCCTGTTTAGATCACCGAGAGACAAAAGTGTCTAGAATTGATGAACCGCATCAGAAGATTACAATTCTTACAGTGAATACCAGCAAGAATCGTTAAATCTCCACAAAATAGCACGCATAGCAAACAAAGCAGTTTACAAAACACGTCGGCGTTTCCCGACCAACGCACAGAAAAGCGGAGAAAACGCCTCTGCCACTGTTGAAGACTGGACTGAAACACTTTAGCAAGACGACAGACGATCTCCTTTTAGAATCTAAATACAGTGGATATAAAGCAACCCTCAAAACACAAGACACTTTCTAGATGAATACACGTTTGCTGAGAAAAAAGTAAACACGTGATTAGTCATGATAGCCTTCTTCATGCAACCTGGCCCTACTTTGCTTATGACATAATGTTGTGTTGAAAGACTTCCACTACAAGAATCCTACACAATCTGAGAACTTTTCTTGCTGTCTGTAATGGATTTTCTGGAGTATGATGACGCCATCGTTATTTTAATTACACCTGAAATGGCTTCACCCTCTTGTCAGGTAGAAGGTAAGAGCGCCCAATATTGTTTTGAAATATAGCCGCCGAGCTATATTGTATTGTATGTACGCCGCGCTTATTGAATGATATTGTATCGATATGCCACTAACTTAAATATAAAATTGTGACAATTGATCACACAAAACCAGACTTACATTTATCCTTTAGAGATTTATAGCCTACATCACCTGCAAACGCTAAATAAATAAGATTTTTCAATTATGTATTGGACAGGAAAATATCAGTAATAAGTTTTGATATTGGCTGTTTACAGTCAGACAATTGGCTTTTAAATTGATGTGAATGCTTTGTTTAATTGTTACATTTTAATTTATTTGATTTCGTATGTTGTCTATAAGATAGAAAGGTATGTTGACTGATTTTTATGTGGATTAAAAGTATGTGACTCAAGGGGCTCCATACTAACATCTGAGAGCGCTTGTGTCACTAATCTCCTCAAATGTTTCTGGAACCAACTCCTGATTTGGTAGCACTGTCTCTGCACATCTAATATTAATATTATTACAAGTTTTGTTTATTATGCACAGCTTGACAGTAACATGTTGCTGGAGCATGAGACGGGATGCCAGATGTACCTTTATTTCCATACACAAGTAACAGCCTCAACTTTTGTACACAAATACTGATCAACATGATTAAATATTATGCATTAGGAGTGCATTATTCCAGTAATCACAAGTTATGTGGTGTTTTCACAGTGCAATAGGTTTTGTAACAGTTAAAGGGACAGTTCATCCTAAAATTAAAAATTCTGTCATCATTTACTCACCCTTCTCTTCTTACAAGCCGGTTTGATTTTCTTCTTTTAAACAGAAAAGATGAAAAAGGGTAAAAACTGCTAACCATTGACTTCAATATTGTATTTGTTTTCCTTACTATGCATGTCAATGGCTACAGGTTTATACCATTCTCCAAAATATATCTGTGTTCAAAAGAAACTTAAAGGTTTGGAATAGGCATGGGCCGGTTTAGGATTCTGACGGTATGATAACCTTGGATAAAAATATCACGGTTCTACAGTATTGTGATTATTACTGCTTTAAAATAAATTCTTATTAAATGTCTGGGTAAAAACAGGGTTTCTGCATGTTTCATGATCATCGCGTCAAATTTGAGACTTTTTAATTCCTTCATATGACCATTATCAATAAATGAAATTTTCAGACTATCACAGGGCAAAACGCTAATAATTGTCTGTAATAACCAGTGGATTTTTTTTAACTTGCCCAATTAAAATTAAAATCCAGTTATTTCTTAGCCACATATTTAAATAATGTGCCAAAGCAAGCAAACTCTAGTTATGTACATGTCTTTTTTTTTAAAGAAAGGTTGCCCTATTAAAAAATATAAGTTTTAAAAGCTATAATTCATGCATAAAATAAATAGCATTTTTTAAAATGTAATGTTTATTATTTCTAATGTACAATAAAATATTTTCAGAATTCTGAGGTCTAAATCAAGGTTGATATTTATTTTGGGGGTAACTACACCTTTAACTTCTAGATTATTTTAAAGTGCTATAAAAAAGCAGTATTTTTTGGTGTCATTTATTTAAATGGACGCTCACAATGAGACACTTATCTAAAAGGAAATTAAACGAAAACAGAATACTTTTCAGTTTTCCAAATGCAATGTGGCATAAACAGTATCAAAGACAATCAGAATGTCTCAAAGTTTTAAAGGGTATAATAAACAACATTTAGGCACAACATAAATTTATGCATGAAAACATGGAGAACTTTCAAACAAATGTTATTGTAAGGATGTAAGGTTTAAGACAATTAAACAATTTTGTTAAATAGTTAATGTTAGTTTTGTTAAACCTATTTTTTTTCAGATGGATTTGTTGGTTGCGCTGATTGGCTATAGATTTACATTGACAAATAGTGAAAATTATGACCTGTTTAAAAGTATTTAAGACCAACAGCAGCATATTTCAGTGAATTTTGTAAGAGCCTTAAATTTAGTTTTTGAAGACATTTTAATACCTTGCGAACACCTTTAAAAAAAAAAAAAACTTTTTTTCCCCTTTTAACAAAATATATTTTATTTTTAAAAACATTTAAAATATTTTGGAGCAATATACATATCAGGCTGCTTTTTTCCATTAGTTTTAAAAACACAGATTTCTTTACAATTTAAAAAAGCATCTTTGGGTATTTTTTTTTTTCTGCTGGCGACACTGTTTTCCTAAAAAGCTGGAAAAAAATGTAAACAAAAAAAATCTTACACATAGGTTAGAAACAGTATTACAGAAAATGTTGGCGGTTTTAAAACCTTGATTTTTCCAAACCACGGTATACCTTGAAAACGGTTATCGTCCCATGCCTAGTTTGCAACCATTTGAGAATGAGTAAAATGTGAGTGAATTTCCTTTTTAGGTTGAGCTATCCCTTTAAGAGTCAGGTCATCACCTTTAATTGCGTCATAAAACTACTAGATGAACCCTCGTTAAGAGAGCGTCTGAGTGCTTCATCTCTGGATTCCCCATCCCACTGGAGGGCCTCCGTCTGGGCTGGTGCAGCTTCAGAGAAAACCTTTGGATTGATGTTGTCCGACAGAAGGGTCAAACCGACAGCCTGAAGCCCATGTTGGATATTAATAGTTTTGACCCAAACAAGCAAACAAGACAAGTTTCGTCAGTATTGATGGCAGACTACATAGCTCACTCTCTCTCCATCTCGGTATTCAAGGGCACGCTCAATGTTGTTCTGAGAGTTTTTGCAGATGAACTTTGTTTATTGGTTAGTCTCAGATCTCTCATGTAGAGGATGATGTCCATGTTTTCAACACGCTGACTGGGCGTCTATTGATTGTGGCGTTCACACCTCTAAAGGAGCATTTAACCTTTCTGGTTAACCTCTCTATGTGCTGATTTTCTTAATGTCTTTGATTACATCTTTTGCTGAGGAAAGATTCAGTGACTTGAATACATACAGCCTTGACACGTGGCAAAATCAGGACTATTTCATTGGCAGCGTAACACAATTTGTACAACAGATCTAAAGTTTTCATTTGGTTTATTTTCAACAATAAACCTGACTACACTTTGGGAACACCAGATGTTGAATTTTTTTTTTTTTTTTTTTTTTTTTTGCCAGCTTGTATCTGAGATTGGAAAGAAGCTTCCATATTGTGGGTCTAAACACTATTCTTGGCCTCAATTAAACCTGCATGTCAGCCTCTTCTAACAGGTAGTCTCAAATATGGTCCTGCTATAGCTAAAAGGTAAGTGTTAGAGCAATAATGGTTCCCTAGTGCAGATGAGGATGTGCTGCACCAAAGTTAGTTTCAATTCAGCTCATGGTAGGGTTGCGTGGTTTACCGGTACTTCAGCAGCACCACAAGTCTCCAAAATACTGGCAGTGCCTCTGTAGTTTGTAAATGGTAGTATCGTCATTAATATTTCTAAAATAGTTAATGTTGCATGTGGGAAAAGTCATTAAAATGCTTATACATTTGTTCAGGCAAATAATCAATAGATCATCAATAACAGACTACATTAAGGCTGCAAAACTGCGTAGAATCAGTCTTGACAGATCAAATGGTGGGATCAATGATTTATTTATTTGTTTATTTATTGCATTAAGAACAAACAGTCACAGTACATATAAATAAAACAGAGAATGCCTGTACAAATAACAAAGAATAGGTTTTCAATGATTAGGGAATTCTGAATTTAAGTGTGAAATATTATAAAATCTGACAATTTGCTTTATTTTGTGTATTTGAGTTATGAATTAATACAATATCATGATACTACTTGGGATCGTGATACTTCAGCTGGTTAGACCATTTTTAAGAATCTTAACAAAAACAACGATAACAAGCAGGAAATGTTAATGGGCCAATGACATGACCACATTGAAATGGTCTATAGTATCATGGTCTAAATTTATGGTATAGTGACAGCCCTAGTTGATGGGAATTGGAAATGTAAGAAGTTCAGGTAAAGATATAGGCTTTCTGTTCTTCCACAAAAAGATACATTGGATTTTCAAAAATTTTTTAAAAGTTTTTTTTTTCTGAATTTAAACAAGCAAATTAAATTGAACATTAATACATTTAATTTATTTGTTTAAATTCAACCTAAATAAATGTTTGGCAACAATTTGGCAAAAAGAAATTTATTTCTGTGTACTTTTTTTCAGCAATCTGTACAGTATAGAGAAAATAAACAATAAAAACACATACATGAGATTTTAGTTTGCAGGAATCCTGTGACTTGTATTGTGTGTATGTAATGTGTATTTAATTATATACTGTAGCACATTTATTGTGTATGGCCATGCACCCAAAGCGCTTCACAATCATTAGGGGGGTCTCTCCACACCACAACCAGTGTGCAGCATTCACAACAGTTCCAGTGCGCTCACCACTCACTAGCTATAGGTGGAGTGGAGAAAGTGGTAGAGCCAATTCGGTGGATGGGGATGATTGGGAGGCCATGATCGTAAGGGCCAATGGCGGGACTTTTGCCAGGACACCTGGGTTACACCCCTACTCTTAACGAGTAGTGCCGTGAGATTTTTAATGACCACAGAGAGTCAGGACTACGGTTTAACGTCTCATCTAAAAGACGGCTCCCACTGACAGTGTATTGTTACCTTCTCTTTTACTATGGCATGTAGACTAACACAGACCACAGGTTGAGTGCCCCCTGCTGGCCTCTCTAATATCACTTCCAACAGCAACCCAGTTTTCCCATGTGGTCCACCTCACCAAAAAATTACCAGAATACTGATTTATTAGTTTAGAAATGCATGTTTATATATATATATATATATATATATATATATATATATATATATATATATATATATATATATATATATATATATATATATATATATATATATATATATATATAGAAAGGACACGTTATATTGTTATAGTAATACTTTTCAATCTTTTAAACGTTCTGAATAAAATTGACCAACGTGAAAATATCTTTATTTAAGCAAATGCTCTTTGTGTGTCTGAAATTACAGGATTCATTCCAAAATATTCAGTCTTCAGTGCTGAAGTGGAACTAGTGGAAGGAGCGAGTCAAATAAATCAACCAGCTTCTACGTAAGTGAGAGGATATCAATGAGCTGCCACAAGAAAACATTTCCATATATAATTTCCATCTTTATTTGCTGTCTGAGCACTTAAAGTTTATTGCGAATCAGTGTATATATGATACAATAAACCTATAGAGATCAATAGCTTTCATGCTCCCAAGTCCTAAACTCTCAGAATGCATTGTTGTGCTCTGATGACACATTCCCATTCACTTTGTTTTTTCATTTAATGAAATTAACGTAACTTTGGTGCGCAGAAGAGATTTTTACAAACCAAAAACAACAAACATATCAACTCCAAAGTTCTGAATGTATATATTAATGTGCACGCATTTCTTTAAGTGACAGAATAAACTGATCTGTTTGTCTGTCTGCATGTAAAACCTTGACACTTGAATTTCTGAAAGCCTCTCAATGCAACGTAACTCAAATTCAAATCAATTAAAGATTTTTCTGTTTTGCGCTTTTCACAATAATTAATGTTTCAAATCAGCTTTATAAAAGGTCACCGTTATTCCATTACAGTCAAAATCAGAGTTAAGGTGTTGTGTATAGGGTGGACAATATAACGGCCACTTTATTAGGTACACCTGTTCAACTGCTCTTAAACGCAAATTTCTATTCAGCCAATCACATGGCGGCAACTCAATGCATTTAGGCATGTAGACATGATCATGACGATCTGCTGCAGTTTAAACAGAGCCTCAGAATGAGGAAGACAGGTGATTTTAAGTTTGATCATGGCATGGTTGTTGGTGGGATATTTTCTTGGCACACTTTGGGCCCATTAATACCAATTGAGCATTGTGTCAACGCCACAGCCTACCTGAGTATTGTTGCTAACCATGTCCATCTCTTTATGACCGCAGTGTACTCATCTTCTGATGCCTACTTACAGCAGAATAACAGCGCAAGTCATCTCAGACTGTTTTCTTGAACAAGGCAATGAGTTCACAGTACAAAATTAGCCTACACAATCACCAGAGCTCAATTCAATAAAGCACTATTGGGATGTGGTGGAATGGGAGATTCACATCATGGATGTGACAAATTTGCAGCAACTGTGTGATGCTATCATGTCAATATGACCCTCTGAGGAATATTTCAAGTATACTTTGTTGAATCTATGCCACGAAGGATTAAGACTGAAAGGATTAAGTTGTGAAAGAAAAAGGGGGTCCAACCCGGTACTAGTAAGGTATACCTAATAAAGTGGCCGGTAAGTTTATAATGCAGTATATATATAAAAGGTGCCGTCTATGTATAATAAATTATCAGTAGTGAAGTTGCAGAATTGAGTGTGAAAGCTAGCTTAATTGAGTTGTTGTCGTTGCACCCCAAATTAATTGCTAACGTGAAAATGGTAACCTCTGCTCCTTTATTGACTGAGACTGTATCATATCATTTGTTTTTGTGTCTTCATGAGGCCATTGAGAGGATAGAAAGGGCAAGAAAGGCTAACTGGCTTTCTTTAGAGATATTGCCCTCTTGTTGAGGGAGAATCTGAAAATTATTCTCACGATGCAGACGAGATGGCCACACGGCAGTCTTTTCTCATTGACATGGAGTTGACTGATGGTCCCAGAGGGCTTCTCCGCTTCATTGAGATGGTGTGGAGGAACACTGGTTACACTGACATTCATAAACCTGTCAGCTCCTCAATACCATCACGGTCCTGCTCGATATTCAGCGCTCTACCTTTAATTGCATGGTCTGGAACTCATCACTGAGGTGCTCTTAGTTGAAGTCATCCTGACCTGCCCCGAGTCTTGAGTGCTCCTTTCTCTAAATTTCCCACAGTCGGTCGGCAAATGCAATTTTCTAGCATCTACTCTGAGGCTCATTTCTTACAGAGCAAAACTGCGTTTTAAGGTCAATGTTCATGGTAGACAACTGGTTATCAACTGTAAATGATGGCCTTTCATTCCTGGAGCACAATTTCTACGTATGTCTTTTTTCCCCCTCTGCTTTCTCTCTGATATTTTCCTAATATTAGGCACACAGTGACATTTAATCATTTTTAAATGACTTTAGTTATATTTAAGTTAACTATTTTTTTTATTTTTTTATCCTATTTTGTGATTTTAAAATTTTTGTGATTTTAAAATAAAATAAAATTAAATTAAAATTAAAATTATTATTTTTGATTATTTATTTTAGTTAAATTTAAGCTAACTAGTGTTTTTTGTTTTATTTTATTTTAGTAAATGATTTAGATGCATTAAAAATTCCTTGTGTATTTTTTACATTTTTTATTTTTATCTTATTATGATTTAAAATAAGTTTACGTTAAATTACTAGTTTTTTTGTTTTATTTTAATTTAATTTTAGTTAAATGTAGTTAAATTTTATTAAATAATTTTGGTTAAATTTAAATTAATTAGTATTTTTAATTTAATTAAATTATTTTAGACACATTTAAATTACTAGTGTTTTATTTCAGTTAAGTAGTTAAATTTAATTAAATGATTTTATTTAAATTTAAGCTAAGTGGTGTGTTTTTATTAAATTATTTTAGATACATTTAAATTTCTAGTGTTTTGTGTTTATTTTATTTTAAATTTCATTAAATGATTTTAGACAAATTTATGTTTTTTATTTAATTTAATTTAAATTTTATTTAATAATGAATTTACATGCATTTAAATTACTGGTGTTTTTTTTAACTTTTTGTTGAATGTAGTTAAATTTATTTAAATAGTTTTAGTTAAATTTAAGCTAACTAGTTATTTTTATTTTATGTAATTTAATGATTTTAGATCAATTTTAAATTACTTTTGCTTTATTTATTTTTTAAAATTTTGTTGTTAATTTTTATCAAATAGTTTTAGATGCATTTAAATTACTAGTGTTTTATTTTTTATTTTATTTTAGTTAAATTTAATTAAATTATTTTTATTAAATTTAAGCAAAGTAGTGTTTTATTTTATGAAATTATTTTAGATACATTTAAATTACCAGCGTTTCGTTTTATTTCATTTTAATTTAAATTTAATTAAATAATTTTAGATCAATTTAAATATTAATATTTTATTTTAAATTAAATGCAGAGACTTTTTAGTTTTAGTTAAATTTAGCTAACTAGTGTTTATTAAAAGTTTTTTATTAAATTACTAGATTCTTTTAATTAAATTTTATTTGATTGAATAGATGTTGTGAAGTAAAGGAATAATGAGAAAAAATGCATTGCATAATGCTAATTTCAGCAATCATTGGTTTGTTCAATGCCAAAAAAGCCAGATTTGCATACATATACATGATATTTATTTTGTAACACATTTGATACATCAGGCGTTTGTGCAAGGCTTGTTGCTCACAACAAGTTAGTTTTGATGACAAACATTTTTTGCCATTTAGGCATTTTTTCCACTATATTTTAGGCAGTTTTTCCACTATATTTTTTACTTTTTACCTTTTATAAAATCATTTACAACAGGCTTTTTTAAACAAAGTATTGATCTAGTTGATATTATATATGTCTTAGAAACTATATGCGACGACTTTATGCGGCTCTATAGGGTTCAAAAGTTTGTTCACTTGTATTAAACATGTTCAAGTAGTCTGACATGCACTTTAAATGCAAAATGAGGAAATGTTGTATATTCTTTAAATAAGAATCAAGTAAAAAGCAAAACACAATATATATTGTATAATTTAATAGGCCTTTATAAGCAACCAAATCCATATTCATATTCTGATACTTAGTCATAATCTGATACACTTATTTTCTTCATATTCGTGTTCTGATACTTATTGAAGAGCCTATTAGACGATGTCATGAATGTAACCAATGGTAAAGGTTTAATAATAATATTAAATTGCATAATGCAAGATATGAAGCTGCAATATTCTTCTGTTTGGATTCTCAAAGCATTTTGCATAAAAAAAGCCGGTGCATAGAGGTCTTTTAACTTATTGACAGATGGCAAACTGAGTTCAATGACTGTCTGGCTGTCCTCATCAGTTTGTTTAGGGCCTCTGTCATGAAGTACTCTACCTTTCTGCCTCTGCTAGTTGTTTAGGTTTATTACACTGTTGGCCTGACATTGTCATGAGGTCACAGACATCAATAATGAGTTCTCCAGCATTTGATCACTGGTGGCAAATCAGGCCACAGTGCTTCATGCCTGATTTTGACTTGACATTGACATGAAACAAAGGTCTCAATAAACTTTTCTTCTTTATCGTGACACAGATATACATCACAATAGAGAAGAAAATTCTTTTGAAAAAAGACAAATGTATGGCATTTTTTTCAGTCTGGAGTTGATTAGATAATTTTGCTTTTCTATTGGATAGAGATGTGGCGAAGTCATTTGAGAAATTGATTTTGCATTTATTTATTTATTTTTTATTTTCAAAATGTGTCACTTTTCATCGCTTATGGATTCTTAGCTTGGTTTTTAACATCAGGGTATGATGTAAGCCTTACAAACTGAGCTGTACTCTACTTGCATCCAATTCCTTACGAATGACACTCAAACATAAAATAATTGTTAAAGTTAGAAAAGGTTTAAGCGAATTACAACTGTTCATAGTGAGCTGTGTTTACGTTAATCTCATGACATAAAAGCCAACTTACATGACTCCGCTGAACGCGCAAGCGATCTTCCACATAAGCATTCGAGTGTATGGTTAGAAACTATCCTAGAGTGCCATCTGCTGTTAAAAACTGGCCTAGATCGCAAACTGCTGTTGAAAACTAGCATAGAGCCCATCTGTTTGTTAAAAAATAGCCTAATGTGCCATCTTCTGGTAAAAACTGACGTAGAGTGCCATCCGCTGTTTAAAACTAGCCTAGAGTGCAATCTGCTGTTAAAAACTGGCGTAGATCACCAGCTGCTTGTTAAAAACTAGCCTAGAGCAGCATCTAGTTATTAAAACTAGCCTAGAGCACCATCTGCTGTTAAAAACTGGCCTAGAGCGCCGTTTGTTGTTTAAAAACTAGCCTAGAGCGCCATTTGCTTCATCTGCTTGTTAAAAAATAGTCTAAAGCGCCATCTGCTT